GACGGCCAGGAGAAGCTTTCAGGTCCAGTCGCCGGGCGCCGGGACGAGGGGAGCGCGCTGCCACCGAGGCGGATCGCACTGCGGACCGCCACATCGCTGCACATCATGTCGGCGGCGGGCGAACCCCGGCGGCACGTTGCGCGGAGTGAGACGGCAGCGGCGGCGGCGTGCGAAGGCGCCGCAGAGCGGAGGGCGCCGGGCCAGCGGGAGGCTCGCTCCCCGGGCAAGCGACTTGCCGGGCACTGAGGGCGACGCTCTCGTCGGCGCGGCCGGAGAGGCAACCGCGGCGCAGTGCCCGCTCAAGTGGAGCGATGGCGGTGGCGGCAGCCCCGCCGGCGCCCTCGAGAGTGGCGCAGCCGCACGCACACGCGAGCGCTCGCCGCCCCCCCCTCAAAGAGGCGGGGTGGTGACGGGCGCCCGCGGCTGGTGCACGAGTGGCGATAGTGTCGCCCGCCCGCTGAGCCGCGCGTGGGCAGCGCAGAGGCAGCGCGAGCAGCCACGACAGGCGCGGTAGCAGCGCCGCGCCGGGGTACTAGCGGCGGCGGCAGCTCTGAGCCCGGCCGCAGATCGCCTCGGGCATACAGGCACCGGCAGCGCGGCGGGCATGTGGCCGGACACGCCTCCAGAGCGCGCGCCGAAGCGAGCATCGACACCGCTCGCCGAGCCGCCGTCGAGGCAGCGGACTGCGCCGCGGCCCGGCCGGCAGCGCGTCGCCAAGCGAGAGGCGAGCGTGCCACGCCGACGGCAAGAGGTAGCGCTGGGTCCACTCGCCGGGAGCGGGACGAGGAGGCGCTGCTGCCACCGCGGCGGATCGCACCGCAAAACGCAGCGTCGCCGCAAGCGCGTCGGCGGCAGTGAACACGAGCGTCTCGTCGCGCAGAACGAGACGGCAGCGGTGGCGGCATGCGAGGGCGGCGGCGGCGCCGCAAGCGGACGTGACGGGCCAGGAGGCTCTCGCTCCTCGGGCAGGCGCCTCGCCGAGCACTGAGCACGACACCCTCGTCGGCGAGGCTGGAGAGGCGAGACCCCGGCGCGGCGCACGCTTAGAGCAGAGCGGCTGCGGGGCGGCGGCCTCGCCGTCGTCCGGCCGCACGCACCCGCACACACGCGCGCGCCGCCCGCCGCCCTTTCCATAGAGACGGGGTGGAAATGGGCGGCCGCGGCTGGCCAGCGAGTGGCGATGGTGCCGCCCGCCGGCCGAGCCACGTGTTGGCAGCGCGCAGAGGCCGCGCGAGCGGCCACGCCGTGGTGCCGGCGGCGCTGCGCCCGGTGAGTGAGTGAGCGACGGCGACAGCTCTGAGCTCAGCCGCACATCGCCTCGGGCACGCAGGCAGTGCAGCGGGCGTGCAGCCGAGCACGCCTCCAGAGCGTGCGCCGAAGTGAGCACCAACGCCGCTCGCCGACCCGCCGTCGAGCGTAGCGGGCTGGGCCGCGGCCCGGCCGGCAGCACGCGTCGCCAAGAGGGTGGTGCGAGGGTGCCCCACAGACGGCAGGAGATGCTGTCAGGTCCAGTCGCCGGGCGCCGGGACGAGGGGAGAGTGCTGCCACCGAGGCGGATAGCACTGCAGACCGCCACATCGCTGCAGAGCATGTCGGCGGCGGGCTAGCCCCGGCGGCACGTTGCGCGGAGTGAGACGGCAGCGGCGGCGGCGTGCGAAGGCGCCGCAAAGCGGGAGCGCCGGGCCAGCGGGGGGCTTGCGCCCAGGGCAAGTTCCTCGCCGAGCATTGGGCGCGACGCTCTCGTCGGCGCGGCCGGGGAGGCGACCGTGGCGCAGTGCTCGCTCAAGTAGAGCGGCGGCGGTGGCGGCGGCCCCGCCGGCGCCCTCGAGAGTGGCGCAGCCGCACGCACATGCGAGCGCTCGCCGCCCCCCCCCAGAGAGGCGGGGTGGTGACGGGCGCCCGCGGCTGGTGCACGAGCGGGGATGGCGCCGCCCGCCCGCCGAGCCGCGCGTGGGCAGCGCAGAGGCAGCGCGAGCAGCCACGCCACGGCGCGGTAGCAGCGCCGCGCCCGGTGCACCAGCGACGGCGGCAGCTCTGAGCCCGGCCGCAAACCGTCTCGGGCATACAGGCAGTGCAGCGGGCATGCGACCGGGCACCGCCTCCAGAGCGTGCGCCGAGACGAGCACCCAATACCGCTCGCCGAGCCGCCGCCGCGGCAGCGGACGGCGCCGCGGCCCGGCCGGCAGCACGTCGCCAAGGGGGGGAGGCGAGCGCGCCCCACCGACGGTAAGGGGCACTGCCCGGCC